AAAGTCACGGTGACATTTCTGATAACTCAAGAGTAGTTTATTTGATTACCATTTGCCATCTTTTGTGTGAATCTTTAATGGTGTTTAACCCATTTTGACTTGCAAAGCACTTTCATACATGTTATTTCAGTAGATCTTTATATAACTCTGAGAGGGGTATCCCATTCCTGTCATCCTATTTTCCAAAGAGGAAACTGAGGTTCAGTGATAGAAAGTGACTTCACTAATGTCACTCTGGCTGAGCTGCTCATTTATTCAACTTTTTTTTTTTTAAATGTGCTTCTGTGTCAGACAGTAAACTAGCCTGCAGGACACACTGACAGGCAGAGCAGTCTTAAGAAACGTAACCCCTGACCTCCTAGAGTCCGCAGCATCATGGAATTATAGCCAGAATTCACTGCAGGCCTGCCACTCTCCATCCTGGGCTCTTTCCACTGCAGACCCCTATGGTTTGTGCCTGTGGCTTAGAGCTAGACTATTGTAGCCTGTGAACTCTCAGCCTGATACATGGTTAGGAGAGCTAAAGTCTCCAAACTCAACTTCAAACATGATAAACAGGTCTTCAGTGATGGCTTAATTATTAAGAAGGTGGTGAAGGGCATCTCAGCAGAAGGCCATCTGCTGCTTGTCCCTGGGGGACGTCGCCCAAGGGCTGCTCCACCTAAGCTCCTGGTCTGAATCTTCTACAGTCTCTGAATATTTGATTATAGTCTGCACAGGTGTGCAGCCCTATGGCCATGTGCTGAGCTGGGGACCATCCCTGCTTTCTTTAATACTAAATGAGATGAAATAAAGGCAAGTTCTGGGATAGCAGGTCTGGGGAGGACTTTGGCCCATCCCTTCACTTACCATGAATGGGAAGCAAACCTAGGAGGGAAGGGACTTGCCAGAATCACACACTGGGAGAGAAATCCTCCCCCTTCCCCTTCCCTACTCATACGAGTTTGACTTAATTTCCCCAGTCCTTCTTTGTAAGAACCCTCTCTTCTCAGCTACATGTGTTCAACATTCAAAGCTACCTTCAAATCCCTATGCCTCGAGGACAAACATTTCCTTAGTCTTCCCTGGCATCCCTCTCTGAGAACCCTGTGGCATCAGGCTGCCTCAGTATATTCTTAGAGGCTAGCCACTGTTCTAAAAGCTAGACTAGCACCTCTTGAAAAGCCTTCTCAAAGTCTTGATGCCCTGTGCCCCAGGGAGAATGATGCCTGAGAGTAGAGGGTCTCAAAATGCATCTATGGGTGTATTTTGCTGGAGATGTTTTGTTCATTTTTGGTTTTCTGGTTTTTTTTGTTTTTGTAAGGTTTTTGCCCAAGGGTGTGTACGCTTGCTGGTGAGAGACAAAGAGAGACAGTGAGAGAGAAAATGAGAAATTACTCCTCAAGGGGGATGGCCACGCTGCAGTCCCTTTTCCTCCATTCTCCTTCTTGGATTTTGGTACACACACACATGCCCAGTGTGATTTTCAAGCCACCAGGTCCAGGACTCAAACCATAGTCAGCCATGTGGGAGTCTAGTGTTGTAACCACCACACCATCTGCTGGCCCTGCTAGAGGTGTCTTTTGTATGTAAAAATTATATTTTTATTGGGCCGGCCTCATGGCCTAGTTGTTAAGAGAGCCAGATCCTATATGGCCATTCATGATTCGAATCCCTGCCCCAGTAGCTCAAAAAACTCGACATATATATGTATATGCTAGTCCAAAATCCCAAAAGGATGGAAAAGGGGTTGCAGCATGACCATACCCCATCGAGGGGTGCTTTCTCCCCATCCTCTCCACCCCAGTCTGTCTTTGGCAAGCATATGTACCCTCTGGCAATTAAAAAACTTTTTTAATGAAGAAACAATTACATGTATGTGGTTAAAATTTTCAAATTTTAATTAAAAAAATAATAGCTATCCAATGTAAAATTAGTCTTGGGTTGATCCCATAACCTGGTGATTAAGGAACTGGATCTCACATGGGCACCTAGTTCAGATCCTGACTTTAGAAGCTTAAAAACATGTTGGATGGTATCAGCACATGGCATAATGTTTATGTTGCTGGATTTTCACGTAGTCAACCACAGTTCAAGTCCCAGACCCAACAGCTTGAAACTCACACCAGGTACATGTGCATGCATGCCTAACATCCCAAGAAGAGGATGGAGAAGGTATTGAAGCATGGCCATTCCCCCCGGGGGGGTGATTTCTTGCTTTCTGTCTCTGTCTCTCAGATGAGCACATGCGCACTATAGCAAAATCTCTCTTTAAAAAAACAAAACAAGGGAACCAGCAGTTAGCGTAATGGCTATGTCGCTGGACTCCCATGTAGTCGACCGTGGTTCGTGTCCCGGGCCCGGTGGCTTAAAACTCAAGCCGGGCGCGTGTGCGTGCGTGCCCAAGATCCCGAGAGAAGAATGGAGGAGAAGGGATTGCGGCGTGACCATCCCCCATGGGGGGTGATTTCTCGCTTTCTGTCTCTATGTCTCTCTCTGTCTGTCTGGCGAGCGCACGCGCCCTACAGTGAACATCTCTCAAAAAAAAAACAAAACAAAACAAAAACAAAACAAAAAACAGGTCAGACATGTTTACAGTGTGACCAAGCCCCAGTGTCTCTATTTCTCTCTGGTGAGTGCACATTCCCTCTAGTAGTTAAAAATATCTTTTTTTTTTTTTTAATTTATTTTAAAAAAAGAATTAGTCTCTCTACCACCACCTAGACACATAGACATCATTTTGACCAATCTTGATGTTTCCTTCCAGAAATATTTTGCTTGAGTGGGCAGCTGTGTCAACAACATCCCTTTAGACAAATAATGACATGTCCTGTACCTGTTTTGTACCTTCCCTTTTTCTCACAAGTCTGTGTCATAGGTTCTCAATGAGCATACACAGGTCCATGATCTTCTTTTTCACAAGCCTATGGCTTTCCAGCAATGTATAGAGCACCAGTTGTTTGTCCTTTACTCAAGGACATTTAGATTGTTCCAGTCCTGCTGCTCTAAACAGAGCTGCAGTGAACACCCTCGCCTGTGTCTCTGTGTGTGTGTGCAGGTGGAGCTACAGAAGCCATTCCTGCAAGTGAAGTTATTTCTAAGTCTGTGCACTTAAAGTTTTGTGAGATACTTTCCATTCTTTTGCCTTTTTTCCCATTCTGAAAATGTGTATTTTTTAAAAGCACCCCACCCCCAGATTCAAATATATTTCCTTGGTTAAGAAACCATTTTTCTGGGGGGACCAGGAGTTAGCATAATGGCTATGTCGCTGGACTCCCACGTAGTCGACCGCGGTTGAGTCCCAGACCCTGTGGCTTAAAACTCACGCCGGGCGCGTGTGCGTGCGTGCCCAAGATCCCGAGAGGAGAATGGAGGAGAAGGGATTGCGGTGTGGCCATCCCCTCTGGGGGGTGATTTCTCGCTTTCTATCTCTCTGTCTCTCTCTGTCTGTCTGGCAAGCACACGTGCCCTATAGCAAAAACCTCTCCAAAAAAAAAGAGAAAGAAACCATTTTTCTGTTCACAGTTTTAGAGAGAACGCAAGTCCCAGAGAGGATTGGCTGGTGTCATTCAGCAGTCCTCGGCCAAGGAAGTGTCTCTCCAGAGTAAGGTGCAGATCAGAGGAAGTGAGGAATGAAGAGAATAAATAAATGGGTGAGGCCTGAAGGGACTCTGTCATGGGTACCATGGGACCAGTTTGCAACTTGGGCTCCAGGGATAGGCGTTTCCTTTCCCACTCAAAGTCTCCGTCATGAGCTTCTCTGGCATGTGTTGCACCTGCTTGGCAACAGCTAGACCAGTGAGCTCATTCAAATATTTACTGAGCTCCTCCTGAGTCCCAGTGCTGGCTTGGCTACTATGTCCCTACCCTTCTCTAAGCCTCAGTATTCCTCATCTGAATGTTTGTGGGGCTCTTTCCTGCCTTTCTCATTATCACTGGGCTATTGAGAAGATGTGGTAAAACAGCCAGAGAAATCATAAACAGATTACAGTTCTCTTAGATTGTGTGGACATGCTGGGGGCAGCAGAAGATTGGACCAGTCACAGGTCGGCTGCGTTGTGGTCTGATCAGCTTCAGATCAGGAAGTTTAGGGCTGCTGTTTATAGGTGTCTCCTCTTGTGCCAAAACAGGGTCAAGATCATGCTTAGGGGCTTCTTTTATTTTTCTGCCCTGTGCTGGGCCTTCCGGGGCCAGGGTAAAGGAGGTTGGATGGCATATTGAGGAGAGAGTCAGAGAGTCCAGGAGGGTGTCTGCACTGCTGCCAAAGTTAGGCCTCTTCTGTAAGCCAACACGATGGCCCTTTGGTGCCACCCATGCGTCATCTCTGCAGCTCCTTTTCAGCCCCCAGTGGTGGCAGGGATGAAGAAGGGGAAGTTCTACCTTCTTTTTTTTCTTTTAAAATGACACATAAAATCACTAACCAAGTTTCTCTCTCCCATTTTATCAGTGGGAAAACAGACCTAGTGAAGTTGAGGGCCTTTTCTCAAGTTTCCCTGTGCATTGAAGGTTTTACTACAATTAGAAGACAGGTATTCAGCGCTTTCACCATCTTTCCCACATCATCCAGGTCTTTAGTTTCACTTTAGGGTTAAAAACCAAAGTGAAAGAAAAAGGCAAAACAGGAAGCAGCTGCTTTAGACTCAGCCGGGGCTGAGACAGCCCTGGAGGACTCAGACCAAACTGACCTCACAAGAAAGGAGGGGGCCTCTTCCCTGCCCACCCTTGTTCTGGAGGGCTGGGTGGGGCCCTGCAGAGTGAGGCGCCAGCCAGCTACGGGCCCTCTGCTGTCTGGGAGACAGCCAGTAGGACGGGTTCCCTGGTAAAGTCAGCCTCACCGGGTGTGGGCCCGGCCCAGGCCCCAGGTAGGGAGCTACTGCCTTTTAAACTCCGTCCTTCCGGGGCAGGGCTGAGTTGGAGAAAGGCCTATGTTGGATTGGGAAAGAAATTCTGGCCTCCTGAATCCAGCTTTCACAGAACAGCTCATACTCCCTAAAGGTAAGAACTAGCACCCTGAAGACTTCCCAATTTTAAACCACAGTGGGCTTAAACCTTATTCTGGGGTAGTTTCTTCCCAGGACCCATAAGGCCTGGAAGCCCTTTACAATGATCCCAGTCTCGGGTACTTGAAGAGGACAAGGGATGGGGGAGCTGGAACTCTGGCTTCTCCCCTTCTTCTTGCACTGAGTTTATAGATGGGTGGCCTCTGGTAAAACTGCTCAGGCCCTCGGACTCCTCTTTTGTTTCTCAGCAGGAGGGAGTTCCTTTTAGCTCTCTACCCTTCAGTGGAATTGATTTTGGTTCCTGGAAGCTGGTGAAAGAATATCACCACACCTGGTTCAGTCTGCCTGTGTATTTCCGAGATTAGTTGTTATCTGGCTCACTGGAGTCTCGAGTTGCTGTTTGCTGTGCCTTTTCAAAGGAAATTCTCAGACTTGCCAGAGCAGCTATGGTGTCAACTTTGCTGCCTCAACAAATAGGACTTTTATGTACCTCCGCTCTCCTCTGCACAGTTGCTAAGTCTGTAAGCACAGAGCTGGTGTCCACTCCCTGAGAGCACCTGCTGAGTACACAGTAGGAAATCAGGAAACTGTTGATTGATTGTCTGATGGTCCATACCATCCTTATAGCTCCCTGGGAATGCAGAAAGGTGGCATTTAGAAAGCCACCCATGTGCAGCTGAGCCAGGCACAGTGGGGAGAAGCCCACATCTCAAAGGTCATGAGGACTTGTGGTCAGACTGCTGAGGTTCAGATCTGGACTGCCATCTAGACCAGAGTGACCTTGGGCAAGGTACTTAATCTGTGGGTCTTAGTATCTTTATCTGCAAAGTAGAGCTGATACTACCTTTGCGATTGGAGTCTCAGTATGAGGACAAGAGAAATCATGTTAAGCACAGTGACTGGTACAGAGGAAGCACTTTAATGCTAGTTGTTATTACTGATTTCCAGGGTGAGAGAGAGAAGACTTGAAATAGTGAAGACTGTTCAAGTACCATGCCTAAACCAGGTGGGCTGTCTGGAGGGCAGTCAGTCATTTGATGGCTGTTTGCCAGGTGGAGGGCTCTCATAGGGAATACGAGTAAGTCGGGGGTGACTTTAGAGAGGTGGTAACCTTCAAGACCTCCAGACCCTTTATGCCCCAGATGAATAGTTTTTTTGTTTATTTGTTTGATTTTTTTTTTAAGAGAGATTTTTGCTATAGGACATGTACACTCTCCAGAAAGACAGAGACAGCAAGAAATCACACGCACACACACACACCCAGGGTAGATGGCAACACTGTAGTCCCTTTTCCTCTATTCTCCTCTTAGGATTTAGAGCACACATGCTCACGCACCTGGTGTGTTTTAAGCCACAGGGTCCGAGACTCTAACCACTGTCGACTACATGGGATCCCAGCGACATAACCATTACACCATTCCGCTGGTCCCAGTGAATGGAGTTTTTGAAGAGAATGTGGACTGGGTGGGGGAAGAGAGGCAAGGGCAGGCTCTCCAGGGACCAGGACAGCCAAGATCATGCTGGAGAGGCTCACCCAGGCCATCAGAGTCTGCTGGGCACTCAAAGCTGGGGTTTGTCTCTGTGAGATCATCCCTTTCTCCTGGCAGTTTCCTGCTGGGCGTGTGACTAGGAGCCTGTTGTTGAGTGTGTTGCTTATAGATTTGATGGTTCTAGCCTCTCCTGGAACTTACGCCTTCCCAAGCTTCCCATGCTTCATGACGTGACTATTGCCCTGACAGGGGTGCGGTATAGTCAGGAGTTGCCACAGGCCAGGGTGGGGTCAGGGGAACAGGCTTGTTTGACAGCACCCAACAGAGACAGGGCTGCCACTGCTACTGTGCCCCAGCAATTTTTTCAAAGGGGTTAGGTACTGTAACAGTACAGAGAAACAGTCCAGGGGACTCGGATTTGGGTTCCTTGGAGCCAGTTCCTTCCCACCCACTTTTACTTCTCTTTTCAAACAATCAGCCTTTCATCTACTCTGAGCACCAGGTGCTGCACTGGGAGCCAGGGAGAGAGCAGGGAGCAAGATTGACTTCCGTCCAACTTGGAGTCCCCATCCAGGCAGGTCATAGATAAACAAGATACGATCTGAGTGCAGTAAGAGTCCTGAAGGAAGCAATAGGAATTGTAAGGGACCTATTCAGAGGGGATGGAAGGTAACTGGGAAAGTGGGAAGGGGACAGTCAGGTGGACCCTGCGGTGAGAGGGTTTGGTATATTCAGCGACAGGGAGAGGTATGGGTTACAAACAGAATGGTATGTAGAGTCAGGCGGGACCTGGTGGTCTCAGTAAGCCTCGGGGGCAAACAACTTTGCTCACCCTGCACAAGCCAAGGGCATCTCTTATATTAAGAAGTATGGTAATGGGACCAGACTCTCACATGGCCAATTGTGGTTGGAGTCCTGGACCCAGTGGCTTGTGCCAGGCACATGTGCCATGAAAAAAATGGAGAAGAAATTGTGGCATGGTCATCCCTCCCTGAGGAGTGATTTCTTAGTTTTCCTCTCATGGTCTCTGTCTCTCTCCAGCCAGTACATTTGTCCTACGGCAAAAAAACACTTAAAAAATAAATAAATAAAATTTTAAAAATAAGCATGATAATGGACATACTGCAAGTGATTCTGATTTAAAAATAACATCAGGGGATCAGCTGGTTACATCGCTAGACTCCCCACATAGTCGACTGCAGTTAGAGTCCAGGACCTGGTAGCTTAAAGCTCAAACCAGGCGTGTGTACATGCATGCCCAAAATCCTAAGAGGAGAATGGAGGAGAAGGGATTGCAGCCTGGCCATCCCTTCGTGGGCACTTACCTGACAAAAGTGGGCTGACTCCTAGCCACCCTCGCTCTACAGGTTGCAGCCATTTAAGGTTCCTTGTTGGTCAGTCTTTTGAAGGAGTGTGGACTGAAAAGAAGGTTGCTTTTCCATTTTACTGGATTTAAAACATTTCTCAAAAAGCTCTGGTGGTGTTGGGTCTGTAAGGAGGATGGGAAGTAAAGGTCGTAGTGAAAAATCAAGGACAGTGATTCTGTGTCATAGAAATAGAGTCCTAGAGTATTTACGTGGTGACCATCTTGCTCAGAGACAATGAATACCTTGTTCTTGGCAGTTACTCCTTATACTGTAGTCTGCATCAATCAATCACAGCACTCCCATTGTGCCTGAACACAGCTTTGGCAGCCTTTGCAACACAGGCAGGTAATACCAATCAACCAGAAGTAGCATGTCCAGTAGAACCTTTTCTATCCCCAATCTAGTCAGTCACCCTCTTTTTCAGATGGGGAGCAGTCTGGGAGGGGAAGGGACTGTTTGAGGGGCAAGTGATGTCATAGGTCTCTTTGTGAGAACAGAAAAGGGTCTGGCCATACGGCTGAAAGCTGGGGGAGTAAGTTTGGAAAGCCAGTGGGGGAAGGCTCCCAGAAGGGCAGAAGTTTTCAAGGTAAACTCTGTGTTATTCAGGTGCTCCTTGGGCTGCTGGCTTGGTCTGGGAGTCTTTGTGAAAGTGCACTGCAATTGGACTCCATCAGTCAGGGTGGGGAGTAGTGTCTTTCTACAGCCACTTCTAAGCTTTGTAGGAATGTGTGTCATTCTTGCTGAATCAGGCTTGTATTTTTACTACTTGTAAGAATAGATGTTCTGAAGGTTGGGTTCTAGAGATTGAAACACATAGGGTTTGAACTCACTTAGCAGATAGAACATGACTCATTGTGTGAAACTGAACAAATCCTTCAACCTTCCCGAGCTTCCATTTCCTTTAGCAGTTCAAGAAGAGATAGTGAAAACATTTCCTCGTGGGAATCAACTATAAGATGCAGTTATAAGGACCTCAGATAGTGGCTACTACAAAAGCCACCAATTCCTAAGCTGGCTGATAAACATCTAATAACTGTGATTTTTTTTTCTTTAGATAGATTTGGGCGTGTGTACTCCTCAGAGAGACAGAAAGCAGCATGACCATTACATTATCTGCTGGTTCCCATAACTATGATTTTACTAACTTATATTCGATATTCGACCACTTGCTGTTTTTTCTTTCATTGTTACAGGGGGATCTGCAGATGGCGTAATAGTTATGTCACTGGGCTCCCGTGTCGACCGTGGTTTGAGTCCCAGACCCAGCGACTTTAAATTCACTCTGGGCATGTGTGTGTGCGTACCCAAAATCCCAAGGAGAGAATGGAAGAGAAGGGATTGTGGCATGGCCATCCCCTCAGGGTGTGATTTCTCACTTTCTGTCTGTCTCTTGTCTCTCTGGTGAGTGCACATGCCCTATGACAGAAATCTCAAGGGGAAAAAAATTGCTATTAGGTGTTTGTGCTCAGCAGAAAGGGAATCCGGAATGGTCACAACACAGTCCCTTCTCCATTTTCCTCTAGGGATTTTGGGGGCAAATACACATGCCTGGCATGTTTTTCAAGCTACTGGTTTTAGGACTTGGGCCCCGCCATGTGGGACCCAGCCACCTTAACCACCATGCCACCTGTCTGGCCCTTCATCCATTTCTTATAATGTGATTAACCCTATGCTATTGTGTGGACAGGGATCTAAGGATAGAGGCTTTCCTGTTGGTAGGTGTTTTTCAGAGAGTTCTTCCCAAATGTCATCATGTGTGCTTTCAGAGGTGGAAGGAAAATCGAGTAGGGATAGATTTGGGGATATTAGGGGAAAGCATGTCATCAAGACTTGACCCAGGTCCTACTCTGTCTTCTACTTGCCAAATTGCCTCTTACAGCCTCTTCTCTACTTAGTGCATTTTCAGCTCTGCCAGGATGAAGGCTCTGCTAGCCTGGACCATTCACTTTTTGTGAAGTAAGAGAGAGGCCTTCTCCTGGACAGGCCTTCTCCTGGACACCTCTTCTAGGCCTGGGATGGAGTAACAGGGATGTGAACCACATGGTCCCTGTCTTCAGGAGGCTCCAGGTCTAAAGGGAGAAACAGAAAAAGAAATAAACCTGTAAAGAGTATGATTGGCAAGGGCCTATGGGATCCCTAACAATGAGATACTGACTAGGGAGAGGATCCAGTCCTGGGAAGGCTGTCTAAGGAATGTTTTGGCGGGAGTGATGCTGAGACTGAGACCTGGTCTAGCAGAGGAGTTAGAATTATTGAGAAAGAATGGTGCTGGGAGCAGTTGGTGCAAAAACTTGGAAACTGAGAGCACAATGTGGTGTAGGAAGAAGGAAGCAGAGAGAAGTTAGAGGGCTGCTTGGCAAGGTGGGGGGAGGGCAGTGGTCTCAGCACTACTCGATGATACTAGAGAGGCATGAGGGGGTGATAGCTGTGGGTGTTCAGGCAGGATACTGGACCTTCTAGACCCCTGACCTTTGTAAAGGATTAGACCCCTCATTTCTGCCACATGCCCAAAACCCTCAATCTCTGGCCTGTGGAGTCCCTGGTGAGCCTGGCATTGGGCAGTTGCTATGTGGGCTCCTCCAAGCTATTGTAATGACAGCTCCTTACCTGGCAAGCCCGTTTGCACTTGTCTTCTCGATCCTCATAGCAGTTCTAGGGCAGTGAACAGGATATGCCAGTATTATTCTCATTTTCTTTCCTTTTTTTTTTTTTTAAGAATTATTTATTTTTTATTTTATTTTTTTAATTTGTTGTGTGTGCTTACCAGAGAGACACAGGGAATGGGGGGAGTGTGAAGTGAGAAACCAAGCCACCACATCTGGGATTCGAACCACAGACAGCCATGTGGGAGTCCATGCCTTAACCACCACACCACCTGCTGACCTCACATTTCTTTATTTTTACTCAGTAGAAAACACAGGTCCAGCAAGTGACATGGTGCTAAGGGTGCTGGAGTCCCACGTGACTGACTGCGGTTCAAGTCCCAGGCCTGGCAGCTTGCTTTCTCACTTTCTTTCTCTTTCTCTCTCTCTGTCTATCTCTCTCTCTCTCTCACTCACCCACTCACTCTCTTACTCTGTCCCTCTCTGGTCAAATTAAAATTAATAAATTAATAAATAAAATTAAATAAGATAATTCTTTAAATAAAAACAGAAAAAGAAAACACATGTGCCCTCATCGGGGAAGAGAGAAGCCTCTTTGATAGAATCTTACCATGTCACAGTCCCCTTTCCCTAACCCTCCATCTTGTCAGGATCATAGATCCAGACCCATGGTGGCCCATGTGGCTTCTAGCACTGCAGTCCAGTATGCTGCTGACGGCACCATGGAGGCAAGGCCTAGTCCCATTTTATTGGTGGGAGAAATTGAGGCACAGGAGCCTAATTCATGCAGTGAGTGAAGCCTGGAACCAGTATTCAAACTCAGGGCTTCCTAACCTATAGGCAGTTTCTGAAACTCATAAACAGGTATGTGGAGGCAGGCAGGGCCAGCAAGTGTCGGCTGACCCCATACCCTGAGGATGGATGTATCATCTCAGACAGGAGCTCCTGTGCTACTAGGCTTCCCAGCGGAAGGCATTCTATGCCCTGACTGCTGTCTGAGGCCTTGGTCTCTGTCCTCACGTCATTTCCCATGTGACAAGGCCATGTAAACATTCTCCTTCTGTCTTTTTCTGCTTGTTGATAACAAGTTCTCCAAAGGCCAAACAAAAACAGTTTTCATTATGAATGTCACACATACAAAGATGATATCTGATGTCACATCCAGAACTGGGCGTGAAGTGGGAGGGCGAAGAAAGAACATCTCAGGCCTGGAAGGAATCATAAAGGTCACACTGTGGGTTTGAGTTCCCTCTCTGCATCCCTTGTGTCTGTGTCTAGCCTGGCTGGCCACCTCTTAGGCCTCTTTTCCATCTTTGGCCAGTTCTGCCTAGAAAACTTCTCTTTCTTTCTTTTTTTTTTTTTTTTTTTTTTTAAATTTCTTTTAGGGCATGTGTCCTCACCACAGAGAAACAGAGAAAAAAGTGAGAAAGCACCTCCATAGGGGGTGACCATGCTGCAATCCTTTCTCCATTTTCCTCTTGGGAATTTGGGCATGCACATGTGTCTCTTTCAAGCCACGAGGTCCAGGACTTGAACCACACAGTTGGCCATGTGGGATCGAGCCACCTTAACCATCATGCCACTGAGTGACCCAAAAGCTTCCCTTTGTAGTAAGGCAGAATTTGCGTCCCCTTCATAATCCTCATCTTCCCTTTCTCCCTCTGGTTATACTGTGACCCCTAAGGCCACATGTATATGTGACAGTCTTAGGTATTTGAGGACATTAGCCATGCCTTTCTGAATTGTCTCTCTTCTCCAGCTCTCCCAGTCTCCAACCCATGGAGTAGAGTAGGCATGGCATACAGTGCACATGTGTCACATCCCCCATTTGTGATGACTCTGCCACAGACATCCCTAGTCGCTCTTGTCCAATCAGTCCCAGACTTCCTCATGCAGCTGTCATGATGCCCAGTCAGTAGAGGAGGCATTTCATTTTCATCTCTGCACTTTACTGAGTTTCCTAAGGAGAGATCTGCTCATCCTGGGTCCCTAGTGCCATCCCAGGGCCTGACATGTTGCTTCCTCCCTATAAATAGCATTTGCTGGAATGAGGTAGACCTGATACTTCTCCCTGTGTGAATCACCCTCTTCTCATTAAGCTCCAGTTTGACAGTGTCCTTTGCCAGAATCACCTATTATAATACCCAAACTATTAGAGTGTAATGGGGACTGCCCCCTTCCTGGTCTTCTGCCTTTCCCCTGTCAGACTCAGGGCATGTCTGTAGTCAGCTAGAGTAACTTAGGCATTTTCCCATATGTACTGCTTTTCTTAAAAAATTGTCTTAATTGAGATCCCAAACTTAGTATCTTAACATTAATGATCTGAGCAAAGAACCCTCTCCCTGTGTGTCTGTCTCTAGGGCCACTGATAACAAAGGCAGCAGCATTGCCTGTGTTGACCTAAACTGAACTCACAATTTCCCCCAGTCAGTCCTACACTGTTAGTTTTATCCCATCTCTTGCTGCCCAGGGTTCTTGGCTCTGCTTCTGTTACCCAATACACCACCTGTCACTCCAGACGCAGTGAATGAGCCCGTGAACACCATCTTTCTATTCTGGGATCCGCTTGGTCATTCAGAATGATGAAAGAAGCCAGCAATTGAGGTGCACCGGGCCTAGCAGCGTCTGGCCTTGCACACTGGGCATGGGGGCCTGGCCAGGTTGTAAAAAGCCAGGCTTTTTTGGTCCATCACCCTTCTGGAGGGTAGTTTTTTGCAGCTCCTTTTCAGTAGTACTTCCAAGGCTGGCCTCCTGGGACTTGAAGGCTTAGGAAAGGTAGCAGCAAGGTTCTCATGCAAGAGCCAGTATGCAGGCCACTTCATGCATTCTGCTCCTCATGCCCTAAGCGGCCAAATGAGCCATACATGTCAGCTTTTTGCATCAGGCTAGAACTGTGGTGGCTCTGTAACTCTGGCCATCTTCTGTTTGTCAC